AGGAAGGGAAGGGAGGGAGGGGGGGGGAGGGAGGTTGTTACACTGTTGCTATACGTGTATGTGTGTGTGTGTGCGTGTCTATAGATAGTCAGAATAGATCGCGTATGGATCCCATAAAGAGGATGGATGTGGGATGGTGGATCGCTCACACAGGGGGAGCTAAAATACCGAGAGCCCTACCTCAACACACTTATCTCTATTGATCTATATATGGAAGTGTATATGTATGTATATATAGATATTTGTATTCATAGAAACATCTAAGATCATATCAAAGGAGGGGAGAAGTTCCTTAAATTAACAAACAGGTACAGTATAACACGTTCATGAATAGGGGTCAGTGATATTTCTATCAATGTGAAGCGCTCTTTTTTATTCGCCTAATACAGAGTCCTTTCCTTACCCCATGGTAAAGTATCTAGGAAATTTCAGATATTGCTGGAATGTAACGCACACAAGATAAAGAGGCAAACAACAAAACTCGCAAAAAATGTCACCTACTAGGAAGATGATATAAGCAAATGAAAATATGAATAATAGTCTTCAAATTGACAGAAAAACGTTACGAAGAATGCTTAACGAAATGAGCAGCCTCACGGTGTCAATATACTTGATTTTCCTCTCGACTTACCTCTATTTTTATAATCACCTAAACCTTCTTTTTTCCGAGTTTAGAGCTGTCTTCTTTTTAAATCCCGATAAAGCCTTTATTAGAGGAAAACTCACCAGTAAAGATCTAAATTCCTTTGACAAACATGTTTTGTTGTGGATGCTTTATTATGGTTCATGATAAGGTGCGTTGCTTGAGGCTACAAAATAGACATTCAAGTGCTAGAAGCTTAACTTTTCTTGCATGACTAACCGTTGTCATTGATGCTATCTATGTAAGTGGCCTAGTCTGTGGGTATTGGTGATCCCAACAAGCAAGGAAGAATCGCCGCTCCCTTGAGCATAACAAACTTAAAATAGAATAAATTCGCTCTACACTAAGATACACATTTTTTCCCAATAACAGAACCTATAATTAGATTAAGTGAAATAAAAAATAGAATTTTAAAAATGTTGATAAGTTTAGAAAAATCAAGCATACACATTTATCTTTAATGACATGCAGCATTTTAATTATACGCTTCTTTTAAACGGACGATCATATCTGAGTATGTTTTTGTGTTAGGTTTATTATGTTCTCTCTTTTTTCCCAGAAAAAAGAAATCAACAGCAAATCGCAATGAAATCACTTGTTAAACAGCAAATTTCAGCTGCAAACCTCATCCCTATCATTTATCATCATCGTCTTATGGAAGTGTGAATTCTTTACTGATGTTTGCATTATTTATTTCCCCATTTTATAGATCTTCGCGCCTAAGGATGATAGTCTAGCCTGGAGGCTGGATAGTTTTCGCTCCTCTTTTGTTGGCGGTGCTGGCGTAGGGGCCACAGCGGGCACCGTATTCAAATTCTTAATATCATCCTTTGTAGATTTTCGACTAACACCTTCGTCTTTTATACCCCTTCGTATTTTGTTAATTTCACGAGGAATGTTTCGTGAAAAAATCGGATTCGTTTCCTTCGCGTGCGCATTTCCATCATTTTCTTTATTGAAGTTGTGAATAAATGATGTAGTAGTAGTTACTGCAGCAGATTCGTCATTATTATTGTTATTAATAAAGTTGTGGCAATTGGTATTGCTACTACTCTGGTTGTTTACTCGAGCAGCTCCGTATTTCGATGAAGGGTGGGCGTTGTGGAAGTTCGTTCTGCCTTGTTCCGCTATTTCAGCCGCGATTGCCGCGTACTTTTGCCGTGAAGCATAAAACGACTTGGGAGGTTTAATTATTATAGGTTCACCCTCAGAAAAACGCGAGAGGGCGGACACTTTATAAGTCTCCCAAAATTCCTTTTGTTCACGTTCTTCTTGCTCCTCTGCGCGCTCACGTTTTCGCCGCGCCTCTGCATATTTATAGGTAAAATGAGGTTTCGCGGGATGCGCGTGAACAACGCGATCACGCATCGTGATCCCGCTTGCGAAGACTTCCAGGACGTGTTTGGTACTCTCGCAGGAGAAATGTGAGTAGCTTCGCATGAGACCTTTAGAGTTTAAACCTAGATCAATGCTATGGGGTTGAATGCCCGTGCAATTTCGCACAAGCTCTGCGATCTCGCGCTTCGTACAGCCCTCCGGGAGGTTCTTCAGGCAAATTCGCTTAGCAGGATCCATCCCAATCTCATTTGAACAGCGGTGAAGAGAGTATACAATCTTACCTGTCTTTTTCCCTCCGTCCTCTACCCCTATCTGTACTTAAGGCTTTGAAATGGAGGATTAATAAATAGCTACTTTACATCAAAACGAGAATAAACAGATGGAAAGAAAGATAACTTTTTTTAAGCTAAATATATTAAATAATTATGTCGTGAAAAGTTAACATAAATGCATAATATATAACGCTGTTAAGGATAATTAATTTTGTTTTGTCTAAAAGAGGAATGAACCCCATAATCACACATTGAGATGTTACGATCTGAAAACAGAATTGTGTATTATAAAGGAAGCCTTTCCTTCATCCTTGAAGTAGGGCACGCTGTATATTTCATGTTGTCTTGTGTTGTTGTCGTCTGGTATATAAATAAGCTTTCTAAAAGGTAATATTCAACGCAATATGCGAGAGTTTTACTCTATCGCCAACAGCGCTGAAACAATAGATCAATAAAATATATACATTAATAATGCATCTAATGTGAAAAGGGAAATAGTAATAATAAACGCATGAAGTAAAATAATTAGCACTGCATAGACTACCATAAGATTGGCCATGCAGCTTTCACACAACACTAAAGATTATGGGCTGGACTGCCTTCTTTCTATCAGATCTATATAAATTACACCGCCTTGTTCGTATAGGCATAAATATATTTAGTGTGATTCATCGAAATAGAAACAAGATTCCTCCTACCCTAAGTGATACTATGTTAATAAATTAATATGCAGAGATTCAAAATAAAATGAAGATTTTCACTACATCAGTCCGTTTGATAGTGGGGTGCAAGAGTTTTTGTTAGTTTCAACACTTTAGTGTGTTGTTGTTATTACTCTTAAACTATATTCCCCTATTGGACGCTAAGACATTAATCAAGCGCATTATCCCAATACTATGACATTAAAATAAATCAATTTTATACAATAATAATAATAAAGGCACCTTTCTTCTCGTTAACCCCCTAGTGTGAGGCGACATTAACGGTGTAGACCCTCGAGGTGGTTGCTGAGAGCCGTCTCTGCGAGGAGAAGGCTCTAGCCTGCACGCACCACCGCCCGGCAGGGAGGAAAATGGGCCACTGAAAGTCCACCCACTGCCCATTTCCCGGGGGGTTCACGCAGTACTGAATCTCATCCGCCGCCCGCCGGACGACCGGGATGTCCGGCCCGCCCCGCCTCCGCAGGACGGCGAGGCCCCTCTCCGGGCTCAGACCCAGTTGGCAGCCCTCATAGGGGCCAAAGACGATCCTACCCACGGGCCCCTCCGGTTCTCCGTACATCCCAGCCTCGAGGACAGCCGTGGTGGCCTCGTCGTCGATCCACTCCGGAGCCCGATCAGGGTGCAGGAGGCAGTACCGCGCGGCGAGGATGACGATCGGGGTCCGATTCGTGATGGTGGTGGCCCGGGAAGGGTAAATCCGCGGTCGCGGGGGGGCCGGGCAGGGGGGACCATTCCC